TTCATTCATTCATTTCTGCCTCCATTCGCCATGTTCTTTCACCCCCTCAGTCTTGGAATGAGCATGGGTACAGTCCTCCTCAAAGCTCACGTTTCTCATTCCCAGGGCAGTCCCTGGATTCAGCTGTGACAGAGGTGATCTGTCCCTCTGCCCTCATGGGGTTCCTTAGATACTCCAGGATCCCCTCTGCTGCACTCATTTCTCTGCTTTCTCAGTTTTCTACTCCTAACAGACCTATCCCTAGGTCAAAATTAACCTCTTCAGTGTCCCATCCTCTCCTGTCTCTCTGGTCTCTCCTGATTTCAACATGATGAATCCTAGAGCATCCACTTATGTGCCCTCACGCAAGTCACTTTCACTTTTCCCCCTCCAGGTTAGTTCTTACCTCAGTATACCCATCTGAGCCTTGGTTTCCTCCTCTGTAAGGAAGAGAGAATAATATTTGGACTGATTGATCTCATTGGACTGTTTTGAGAATCAAATGAAAAAACAAATGTAAAATGTGCTGTAATAATATTTTTTTCTTTTTTTGTAATAATTTTTTTTAAAAGCTATTGACAGAGGACAAGGGAAGGCTCCTTCTCAATGGGCTACTATATTGGCCCTTGCAAGTAGCATAGTACCAGAGCTCATACTCCAAGGAAACATTGCTGTGGGTGTTGCCTCTATTTCTCTAGATGGCAATTTAACCATACCTTCTCCTAGGACATCCCTGTCCATGGAGCATCAGGTCTCTCCATATATTCTCCTTTGCTTTCAACACATGGCTGCCCCTTTTTCTTTTCTAATCATCTGTAGGTGATCATCAGAAATGTGCTTCAACCTATTTGGGCCCCAATCATGGGTCTCTCAGCCACCACTATGATTCTTCAGACACATAACATCACAAGATCATGGATATATAGCATCATCAGGAAGATGTTTGTGTTAAAGAAAAGATGGGTCATTACATCAGGAAGAAGTTTAGAATTATGAAAATCACAGTGCAGTTTCCCAAATTCAACCCTGCCTGCTTTTCCAGAAAGCAGGGACTGCCTTATTTTTTCTACTTGTACCTCCAGTGTTCAGTGATTTGCACCAAATGCTTAAGTCAAGTCAGCAAGCACTTAATGAGGCCACACTATGTGCAAGGCACTATACTAAAGGCTGGTGATACAAAGAAAGGCAAAAACAGTCCCTCCCCTCAAGGAGTTCACATTCTAATGTTACTTAGTTCCTATTTATTCATTCATCCGTCCCTCCTATACAATTCTGGGTCCTGTTCATCTTCAGAACCAGACATATTCCTGTCCCAGATACATTACTGTCAAGTCTGGACGATAGGTATTTTTCATCCATATAGTTTTTCTTCATGGATTATTATGCCACTTTTTTGAATAATTATAGATTTCATTGACAAAGTCCCACAATGTTCTGGAGCTTGACACAATTAGCATGATATCATCTTCACATGGGAGAGTCTAGAGGATTTAATCAACTATAGGAAAGATCTCTTCTATTTGGACCTTACTCAGGATACCATCCACCATGTATTCCCGGATAACATTGCTGCAGTTTGACAGGGGTCTTCTGGAGGCAGAACTTAGGCCAAAGCTACAGCCCTAAAGGGAGTAGGTAGACCTGTCATTGCCCCTCAGATCACCTCTGGAGTCATGAGAGCTCCTCTCTTCTTCTGGGATTGTTGCTCCTTTTAAAGCTTTACTCAAATGCCACATCCATCAGGGAGGGCCCTTCTGATGCCCAGTGCCCCATCAATTCTGATCTTCCCTCTCTGATTTCATGTAACACTTTGCACTTACCCCCCCCACCGACATACTCATCATGTATTATAGCCACGTATATTACATTCCTTTCCCCTTACTAGAGTATAGATTCCTTGGGAACAGTTTGGTATAGTGGGTACTGTGCTGTGTTAGGAGTCAAGAGTTCTATCTGCGTACAAATCCTGCCTCAGACAATTCCTGGTTATATGGTCACTGGCGAGTTATTTAACCTTTCAAAGCCTCAGTTTTCTTATCTGCAAAATGGGGATAATAATACCTTATCCACTTCAACAGGGTGTTATGAGGAAATTGCTGTAGAAGTGAACTATGATGGGTATGTGAGCAGGGACCATGTCTTGTCTACACCTTGTGGCTTTCCTGGTACTCTGGACACAGTAGGTGTTTAGTAGTGTTTTCAGGTTTGGAAAGTGCTTTCCTCACAAGAACCCTTGTAGTAAACAGCTAAGATTTGGGATGCGATTTAGAGCAGACCCTGAGCCCCCCTTGGCTGGAGATGTCCTTTTTTCATGGACTAATCCTATGACCTAGTCCTTGCCAGCTGAGCTCGGCTGAGAGGCGGCACAGTGTGCCAGCTGAGCTAAAGAGTCTAAGTCTCCCCCACACTAGTTTTTTCATCTGCAAAATAAAGGTTTGGGTGGAGTGGGTGGGGCTGGACCAGATGGCTTCTGGGGTTCCTTTCACCTCTAGAGCTGCAGAAAGCTTGTAATCCTTCCCCTCCCCCCCAAACACACACACACACACACACACACACACACACACACTCATACACACCACACCACACATACACACACTCACACACACAACACACACCCACACATATTCACTTACACACACAACACACACACTCACACAACACACACATTCACACACACACCACACATACAACACATACCACACACAACACACATACTCACACAACACACACTCTCACCCTCACACACACACAACACACACTCTCACCCTCACACACACAGCGCATACCCACACACAACACACACACTCACACATACATAACACACACTCTCACCCTCACACACACACAACACACACACACACACACACACACACACACACACACATCTTCCTTTCCCCCAGAGCCTTTTCTATGGCAGGGCTTGGGAGGCAGGAGGGGAGCAGAGGGCTGGGGAGTTTGAGGGAGTGTGGTCTTGGGTTAGAGTGGAAAGAGAAGCCGGGCCAGATGCTGGGGCTGGTCCTGCCCATCAGGCCCTCAGCCAGAGAGTCAAGGCTGTTGGGGAAGCCAAGCCTCTGCAGCACATGATGGCCAGCAGGGGGCTCCCTCGCACCATCCTCATCCCTCTGCACTCCAGGTAGGGAGCTCTGAAGCCTTAACGTGGCAGCTGGAGCACAGCCTGGGAGGATTAGCCTCTCACACCTTCCCCCATCACCAGATCCGAAAGCTTCCCTTGGCTTTGGAAGGGCCCTTAGGGATCTTCTGTCCAGCCTCTTTATTTCAGAGAAGAGGAGAGCGGGGCTCTGACCCTTGTCCAAAGTCCCGCAGAGAATTAGGGATAAGGTCTCCCCATCTGCTCTGGGCAGGTGCCTTAGCCCGCGGGAGAAGATTGGGGTTGAGGTCCTTGACCTCCTTTCTCTTCCTCTCTCCCATGACCACCTTCCACTCCTTGGTCATGCTAGCATTTAAAATAATAATAGGGCATCAAGGTTTGCAAAATGCTTTACATGCGTTATGTCACAACAAGCCTGTGAGGTAGGTGCTATTGTTCTCCCCATTTTACAGATGAGGTAACTGAGGCAGAGTTAAGTGCCCAAGGTCACACAGCTAGTAAATGTCTGAGGCTGCATTCGAATTCAGGTTTTCTTGACTTCAGGCCCAGAGTTCTATCCACTGCGCCACCTAGCCGCCTCTAAGTGACTTATCCCTGGTCAATACAGTTAAGTAAGTGTGGAGGCAAGATTTGAACTTGGCTCTTCCTGACTAGCATTATATCATTATGCCACTTGTGACCACGTGAAGACTATACAATCAAGCCTTGGCCTACCCTGATTTCTAACACCTTTCTTCCTGGAATCAGTTTTGGTTTTTTTGTTTGTTTGTTTTTTGTTTTTTCACAAGGCAATGGGGGTAAGTGACTTGTCAGGAGCACACAGCTAGTAAGTGTCAAGTGTCGGAGGCCGGATTTGAACTCAGGTCTTCCTGAATCCAGGGCCAGTGCTCTATCCACTGTGCCATCTAGCTGCCCCCCCGGAATTTAGCAGCCTTGGAAATCAGCAAATACTACAACTCAGAGCTTGATTTATTATTTTGTTGATTGTCTAGACCTGGGAAAGTCATGAAGGGAATGTTAATAATGTTGATTAAACTTAAAAGTGAATCATGGATACTTTTGAGGGGAGAGCTGGTGTTAAATATTTCCCAGCACATCCCTGACACCTCACACTCATATCTCGAGGACTCTTAGACTGAAACCCCCTCAAGACCACTAGGCCCCTCTTTTCCTCTGCTATGGGACAGGGCCAGCCTGACACACTCAGTCAAGTATCCCTTATTGGACACTGGGCAGGACTCCCTGACCCAAAACATTTCCCCAGGTGCTTATAACAGATGCCTGAAATTTTACTTTTCCTTTGGGACTCCATGAACACTGGATTTGAAATCAGAAGACCTGCATTCAAATCCCAGCTCTGTCACTTACTAAATGAGTTTGGGTATTTTTTTTTTCTCTCAGACCCTTAGCATCTTCCTACATAAAAACAAGGGCATCTGCAAGGCCCCTTCCACATCTAAACCTCTGCTCTTGTCTTGCCTCCTCTCCACCTCCCCTCAACACCCTCTCTCTCACACACACTATGAACATAAAAATAGCTTGAGAAGGGGAGAAATTTGAACCATTCATCACCTTACCCCTTAGAGTGAATGTGAAGGGAACAGGACCTAAGAAGCAGTAAGGAGAAAGAGTGAGATGCGCCCCGAAAACAGAAGCAACTTTTCTTGGATCTCTCACACATTCTGTGAAGTCATGTAGAGTTAAATCCCAGGGTCCCAGGGATGGGTGACACCACCAGAGGTCATCTGGTCCATCCCCCTGCCTCCAAGCCCCTCCCTCACTAAACCCCACTTACAATCAGGGATTTCTCTTATTCCTGAATATTCCTCACACACACACACACACCCAACCACCTTAGTTGAGAGAAGAGTTTGGCCCACATATAGAACCAGTACACAGGCCTTGGCCTGGGTCGGTGAGCAGATAACTTTATTATCGCACAGAGTATAGCAGAAAGAGAGAGAGAGAGACAGGCCAGGGTGTAGCACACAGGCACCTCCCCTGCCATTATCCTCTGGACCTAGGCATGACCAGAGAGGGGAACATCCCAGGGCTGGAACCAAGCCTGAAATGTTTGTTGCCAGTCCTGGGGATTGAGGTGCTCTCGCCTGAGGTAGCAGGTACTTTTAGGTACCTCCTCTGAAAGGTCAATTCCCACCATCACATAGAAACTAGACTGGGCATCCCATCGCAGCCTAGAGCAAGAGGATAGGTGCCTCTGACCTCCTTGTGTAGAAATCCGAGCTGAGATTTAAACCAAGCTAAAGGGCGGCTGGGATCTGGACCTTAGCAAAGTTGACAAACGTCCTCAAGATCTCAAGGTCCAGAAACAAGGCTCAGGAGTATTGAGAGAAAGAGAGAAAAGAGATTACAGAGAAAGCACAGCGTTCCTCACCTCCACCTTCACCTCTATGCCCATCTCTGTCCCAATCTCGGAGGCTTCGGGCAAGCACAGGACGGAGGCCGGAAGAGGTTCGGGGAGAAGGGGAAGGAGAGGAGGAGCGGTACATTTCACCCAAGGCCTTCCCTATAGTGCCTCTTTATGGCAAGGGCTGGGAGGCAGTATTCCTCACATGGGACCAACTGAGGAGCTTAGAAAGCTGTCCAAAAACCAGATATCAAAGAGGGAAAAAGTCAAGAAAGAAATCAGGCATGTCACTTTCTTAACTTGGGCTCCTATAACGTGCACATCTGCTCCTAGTTCTGTTCCTCACCTGCTTCATCGTAGGCCAGGACACTGGCACTGATCTGAGTCCCTTCCCCTCAGGATGCCCCCCCCAGCTCACCTCTCCACAGCAGAAGAGCACACGCTGGGAGACCCACCACTGACAGAAATGCTTTTAAATGTAGGCGCATGCAAGTGCCATCTTTATACCAGCCAAGCCAAACGTCATGTTCAAGCACTCCAAGAAACAGACAGTGATCTCCAAGCACCCAGCCTTGCATCCCGACAAAACTCCTTGGGCTGCCTGGCCTGCTTCTGCCACAGTGGGTGGGTAACCTGTGACCTTGGGACTACATGTGGCCTTCTAGGTCCTTCGCTGTGGTCTTTTGTCTGAGCCCATGGGGCCAGGATGGGCACCATCGCTCAGAGTGGTTTCCCCATGGCCTTGGGCCTCAGGCAGCTGGAGTGGATGGATTTGTTCCTGTCCCTTTCTTTGTGGGTAGTGCACGTAGGCTGGGTCTAAGCTGTCATCTCGCTCTGCAGTGTCAGCCCAGAAGCAGAAAGGGGAGAGAGGCAAGCCGGAGCCAAGGCAGCTTTCCCCTCCTTGCCCCAGATATCTACCTGCTGAGAGGGAGAGTGAGGGCCTCTCTGCTTCTGCTCACCCCATGCCACCCTCCTTTCCAGCTGCCTCTGGCCACTGGAGTCAGAGAGCCCTTACCCAGCTCCTTGACTTTCTAGATGGATCCTTGAAGAGAGCCTGGGCTGGCTAGCAGCAGCCTAGGAGAGTGGAACCAAACCCTCTGCCTTGGAAAAGTAAGGTTTGGGGTTAGGAGGTGGGAAGAGTCATTCCATTGCACCTGAGCCAGACAAGCGGGAAGAGTGGGGGGTTTGCTGGTCCCCTTCTCTGGGTATACATGCAGGTGCAGCCACAAACACTCATGTGGGTGATGCCACCCTCAGGTTCATAGAGGGCTTGGAGAGGGAGGGCCCCTCCTCACCCCAGAGTGGGAGGGACCAAGCCAGATTGGGATCAGGGAAGCTAAACAGAACACAGGGCAGTTTTCTTTCAGGTCTAGGGCTGCCAGAGCTGGAAAGCCTGTGGCCAGTTCCTGGGTCCAGTGTCTCGCCCTCGGCATCTCTCCACAGCTGCGGTTGCATCCAGTCATTGCAAAGATCCAACATTTGCATGGGTGGGAACTCCTGAGGCCAGCAAAAAAAAAAAATGATCAAGAGTCATCACAAAGGAATAAGCTGGGTGACCACTACAGAGCAAGGAGGGACACTGTCCCTGGCCAGCTAAGTGTCTCCCTAGGAGGCCAGGCCATGGAGAAGGATCTTGGGAGTGTCTGGGTATCAGATCGTGAGGCAGGGCTGGGGAAGAATGTTGGAGGGAGTCAGGACATAGGGAGGGTGTCTGAAGATTAATGCCCCGAGGCAACATCCAGGGGGCTCAGGATGTAGGCTAGTAATGGGCCAGTGTCAGAGAGATTGAACCACTGACTCACCTTTAGGGAAGTTTGTTTGGGGACCTAGGCCAGAGGGTAGTGTCTGTAAAGAGTGTTTGAGAGATCAGGCCACAAAGAGATGTTTAAGGGGCTTGGCTCAGGGACCGAGGCTTAGACCAGAGGGCAGAGTGTTCAGAGGGAGTATCTGGGGACTTGAGTCCCCAGGGCCTCAACAGCAGAGAGTGTTCAGGGAGAGGCTGTAGAGGCTCAGTCTATGAAGCAGAATATTTTGGGGGAGGCTCCCCAACAGTCCCACACACAGGTGAGGCTCCCTGGCTCAGGGAAGGAGGTCAGAGGGGAGGGTCTATCCCAGGGGTGGGGAAGCTATGGCCCCAAGGCCACATATGGCCTTCTAGGTCCTCAAGTGTGTCCCTTTGACTGACTCCAAACTTCACAGAACAAATCCCCTTAATAAAAGGATTTGTTCTATAAAACCTGGGCTCAGACAAAAGACCACAGTGACGGACCTAGAAGGCCACATGTAGTCCCAAGGTCACAGGTTACCCACCCCTGGTCTAGCCTGTAACTGAAGCGCTGGTTATAGAGCTAAAGATCAGCCCACGCGCTTGTGGGACCAGTGATAAATCCAGCAACATCACTTGTCAAAGGCTAGGCAGCATGGCTCTTCCACCTTTTTCTGCTTGTTTCTAAGCATCTCACCTGTATCACAGTCCCAGGGGCAGAGTGACCTGGGAAGCCACCTGAGGGGTGGGGAAGGGCTTTGCACTGAGAAGCAACAGGAAGAGTACATGTAACTCAAGCAGTATGCTCATCCCTTTGGCTCATCCCCTCCCACCCTGGTGGGAGGAGGAAGCCGGCCCTGCATCTTCCCCTCCCCACCTCACCTGAGCCAAGGCCACATCAGGTCAGAAAATGCACAAAGAGGATGGCCAAGCCGATGTTCAGCAGAATCACCATGCAGATAAGGACAGTGTTGGGAGCCTGGAGGGAAAGAGAGTAAGGGAGAGGTCTGGAGAGGACCGCAGGGTAAACTTCCAGGGAGGCATCCCTCCCAGACCATCTTCTGGGTGCTCATGCATGGGATCAAAGAAATTTAGGCTGCAAGAGCCCCCTGGTAGCCACCTCACCCATCCTCCTACCTTTAGGTAGGGCCTAACTCATCTCATGTGGTGCCAAGAGGTATTTCGGACATTTTACTTTCTTTTATTTTTGGAGGCAATCGGAGTTAAGTGACTTGTCCAGGGTCACATGGCTAATAAGTGGGGCTACATATGAACTCAGGTTCTCCTGACTTCAGGGCTGGTGCTCTATCCACTGCACCACCTAACTCAAAAAGGCCAAGGGCCCCCCACTGCATCCAGGGCCCTCTCCAGTCATCCTAATCTATATAGCTTGCCAATGGACCCAGATGGCTCCAGAGGAGATAGTGAGGCTGGTGACTTTGCACAGCCCTTCCTCACTTAAATCCACTTCACTTGCTTGTCATGACATCACAAACAACAGCTGGTCCCACAGGGATGAGGGGCTCACCAGTTATTGAAGATTTCCAGGCAAGCTGAGGCCTTTGGTACCTCCCCTTGGCGTCTCTGCCAGTGAAGGAGACTTAACCTTAATCTTTTCCATTACCATATCTACCCCATTTTCTCTAGGATGTGAGAACATGTCAGGAAGCATCCTTTCCCTTCCTGCTGGCGAGTCTTCCTGGCAGGTCTGGCTGTCTATCACTGGGTTGCAGGGGTTATAAGCCAGAAAAGATGTCCATTGTAGAGTGACAAAGAACCCTGGGCTTGGAATCAGACGGTCTGGGTTTGAATCTTGCCATTATTTCCTGAGTGATTTTAGGCAATGAGATTCCCCTCTCTGAGCCTCAGTTTCTTTATTTGTAGACTAAGAGGAGTTGACTAGATGAATTCTAAGATCCCACCTGACTCTAAATAGACCCTTCTGTAGAAGCCCCCGCTTCTATGTGGGGAGGATGACTCCAGCCCCAGCCCAGCCAGCATTACCTCCTCCAATTCCATCTCGGCTTCCAAGGCTGCTGCAGCCGCTACTTCTCGACGTCCCTTCTTTTTTGCCCCACCCTTGGATGAGCCTCGGGCCTCTGGTTTTCTGGTGGGCTTGGTGTGGCTTGTGGTATCTGCCTTGATGGGGGAGGGTGGATGCTTTGGCTCTGTTTTGGGGGCCCTGGCTTTCAGCTCTGGCTTGGGGGGTGTGGTGGCCCTTGGGAGGGCCTCTGTGTCAGGCTGGGTGCCCGGCTTGAACACTGGAGTGGCTGGGGGCGTCGCAGGTGTGGTGGGGGAAGCACTGTCTGCCTCTTCCTCATCGAAAGGTGGTGGGACAGGGGGTGATGTGCGGACAGCATAGCTGTGGTACCCCTGGTAGTGTGCTACTTCTGGCTCCCTAGTAGGATGTGGGGGTGGTGGCTGCAGGGGCTGGATCTCTATGTGGTCAGTAGGGGTTCTTGTGGGGCTCCTGCTGCTTTTCTCCCTAGCACCGACATCTGATGGGGTCGCTGGACGGCTGCCTTCTCGACTCTGCTCCCCGTTCCATTCTCCCGGACTCAGGAAGCCATCCTTCTGTGTTCCAGGCCTAGGCCGCTTCGCCTCAGGGGGTGTCCCTGCAAGGTAGGGTGATGGGGTGCGGGCTGGGGTGCCACCCCCTTGGAGGGAGGCCTCCCGTTCATGCAACTGGGGGCTCTCTGGAGGGGGCTCCTGGATGCCTGGGGCCTCTCCACGGCCTACATTCTCCATAACACTTTCAGCATTCTCTATGATCTCCTGGAGCAACCTCCGTTTCTGGTACTCAGGGCCTAGAGAGAATAATAATGATAATAATAAAAAACACACAGCTGAGTCATTCTGGCTCATTTACAGGAATGGAGACAGTGATTTAGGACCAAGTTATTGCCACCAGAAATTAGAGAAGGGTTATCCTTATGAAACTAGGATTTAGTGATTGATGCAGATCATGCAAAAAAACAATAGAAATGGTGCCTCATAGGACTGCAGGTTGCAAAAATTTAGCACCTACCAAAGACCTGATCAAATGGCAGAATTATATACCAGCAGCTTGTTAGAATTATATACCAGGCAGGTAGGTGGAACAGTGGATAAAATGCTGGGCCTGGAGTCAGGAAGACTCATATTCCTGAGTTCAGATCTGGCCTCAGATACTTTCTAGCTATGTGACCCTGGGCAAGTCACTTCACCCTATTTACCTCAGTTTCCTCATCTGTAAAATGAACTGGAGGAGGAAATAGCATACCACTCTAGTACCTTTGCCAAGAAAACCCCAAATGGGGTCATAAAGAGTCAGACATGACTGAAAAATGACTGAACAACAGTAAAGAATAGTGACCTCCCAGGACCATTTCTGCTTGAGAATATCATATGAGAAGAATGATAGATACAAAGAAATTTAAGACACATTTTAAAATAAATATCACCACACCAAATAATTGATTTCTAACTTACATGGAATGAAAGGTTTCGAAATACAGAGATTTAGCAGAGAAGATCAAAATTATCTGGAAATGGTATGAGATTAATATTATCCCTGTTGTCCTGTCTGCTATTGGAGCTGGACTGAGGATGCTTTCAGTGATCTCAACACAGAGGATAGGTTTACATCCTGATGCTTTTATTTTATGATGTTGCTATTTAGTCATTTCAGTCACGTCTGACTCTCCGTGACCCCATCTGGGGTTTTCATGGCAAAGATACTGGAGTGGTTTGCCATTTCCTTCTCTAGCTCATTTTACAGATGAGGAAACTGAGGCAAACCGGGTTAAGTGACTTGCCCAGGGTCACACTGCTAATAAGAGTCTGAGACTGGATTTGAACTCAGGTCTTCCTGACTCCAGGGCCAGCATTCTTTCCACTGCACCACCTAACTAGAAACCGTGGTTATTTTACCTACCCATGCAGTAGCCCACAGGACATTAAATAAAAAAAGAATAATAGTAGGACAGCAAGAGGCAATCATAAAATAATGGCTTGAGTGCTGACCTTGGAGCCAGGATGACCTCTGCTTGCATTGGCTCTGTGACCCTGGACAAGTCACCTAACTTCTTAGTGCTCTCGACAACTCTTTAAGACCATAAGTGGCAGAGGTATAAGACTGCCTTGTTAAGAGTCTCCCCATCCAGGAGTTCTCTACCAGAGTCATCAAAATCAGAGCCTACAAAACTCTCAAGTGCAGCTGGAACCAGATAAAGATGCCTTTGGGAAACATTTAACAAAATAAATAAAAAATACCATGCGATATAGATAATGTTCATTTGTGCACTCCCTGGCTCAACTACGGGCTTCCGTTTGTATTTGAATTTGACTGGACTCTCCTCTACCAGTGACATCATAGGCCCAACTGTCCTCATTTCTGTTCCCACTAAGATGACAGTGATTTGTCCCAGGACCATTTCTATGAGAGCCCCACTGACAAAGATGAAAAAAATGAGACTATAATAATAATGATAATAACTTAATATTACATAATGCTTAAAGTTTTAAAAAGTACATTCCCTATGGCCCTCATAATATAAATATTATTAGCTCCCTTCTTTGGGGGGGGTGGGGAGTAGGGAGGCAATCAGGATTAAGTGACTTGCCCAGGGTCACACAGCTCGCAAGTGTCTGAGGTCAGATTTAAATTCAGAGCCTCTTGCCTTCTAGGGCCATTCCTCTATCCACTGCAGCACCTAGCTACCCCTTATTAACTCCCTTTTAAAGAAGAAGAAATTGAGTCTCAGAAAGATAAAGTGATTTGCTCACTGTCACACAGCTAATAAATTGTTAGTGCATCAATTTGAACCGAGATGTGAATGCACTCTTTCCATTATGTTTGTGTGATGTTTGTGTAGAAGTCACATCTTGGCTATAACAATAACAGCAATGATAGTAGCTAGCATGTACATAATGCTTTAAGGTTTACAAAAGACTTTACATATATTAATTCATTTGATCCTCACAACAACCTTGGGAGCCAGGTGCTATTATTATCCTCATTTTACAGAAAAGGTAACTGAGGCACAGAGAGGCTATGTATTTTGAGAGTCACACAGCTAATAATTGCCTGGGGCAAGATTAAAGCTCTGGTTTTCCTGTCTCCAAGTCCATCACTTTGCACTGTGTGACATTCCTACCTGTACCTCCAGGAGCTGGCCTAGATTTGTAGAGGGAACCCCTGAAAAAAAGAGGATCAAGGACCCTAAATGGAAATTCTATCTATCCTTCAAGGTCCAACCTAAATTCCACATTCTCCACATATAGAGGGAGTTTCATAGAGTGGAGAGAGCTTTGGGTTGTAAGTCAGAAGACCTGGGTCTGGGTCCTGGTTCTGCTACAAAGAGCCTGGTGACCTCAGAGACATGGTCTGAGTCTTAGCTTCCTAACCTGTAAAATGTGAATTATGATACCTGCCCTGCCTATCTCTCATGCTGGTCATGAGAATTGGATGAGACAACGAATGTGAAAGCACCATGCAACCATCAAGTGTTCTGGAAAAGTGGTGCTTGGTTGGCTAAGAGACATCTGAGAAAAAGTCCTGAAATCTCCTACCTGCCTTCTCTCTGCTAGCCCATGCCACAGACCTCTTCCTATCCCCACCATGCCACGTCCTACCTGGCTGGTAGAAGTCCGGAGACAGCTCCCTGGCCAGGGTCCGTGCAACGCTGGACTCGTTGTTGGCCGCCAGTGCGGCCTGCTCTGCTCCATCCGCCTTGGCCTTGGCATGACTTGTCCTGGGGAAACAAGATGCAGAGAACTCAAGGTCTCTCCAGGGCACTTTCACCTCAGCACAGTAACACTATTGATCCCAGAAAGAGGATCCTCAGTCCAGTTACGGTAATTCCCTGAGGTGGGTATTTAAATGTTCATGAATAAGTATGTACAGAGATATGTATCTATACACATGCATGCTCACTTTGGAGTCCATGCAACACAAGGATTTATAAACTGCCTTTGGGGTAGAAAGGACTAACTCCAGATGGGCCAACCTTGACTCTTATCTATCCTGATCCCCCACCTCCACCTTGTCTTTGGGGGGAAAAAAAAAGAGTTGTGAGTAAAAGATGCTGGTGAGCCAGGCCAGCAGGAAGATACAACTCAAGAGCAAAGCATGGGAGCAGATAACTGCCAAGAAATAAGGCGTGTGAGCCTATCAGAAGATCTGGACTGATCCTGTGCCATATCCAAGGCAGCGAGAGTGTCAGGGATACCTGGCTCTGGAGCAGGGAGAGTTGCTCCAATCCCATGATGGATTCAAGGGCTCCTTCTGACCTCCTAGTGAAGCCCTCTTCCTCATTTCCACTTAGCCAAGGGGTCAAGCTCATCCTTTCCTTATCTGTGGCTCTCAACTTAGATCTCACTTACCCACTATGAAACCCTGTTGGCCATCAGAAATGCTAAGCAGCTTACACACAGAGAAACAATAAGACAGAAAACAATCCTTACTCTAGGCAAGGGTTCTTAACCTGGGATCTCTGAACTTTTTAATTCTGTATTTTGATAACTGCCAGAGGGGTCCATGACACAAATGAGGTTAAGAATCCTTGCTCTTCTAGGGAGATGAAAGGTTTGATCAGTGAGAGCTGAGCTGGGGGCTCAAAGCTATGAAAGCAGTAAATAGAGTGTATAGCATGTGCATTTGGCTTTCAGCTGCTCCTGGAAATAAGTCCCAAGCTGGTGAGAGTGTCAGGCTGCAAGGGAACAAATCGTGGGCAGCCGCAGTTTGGTCTCCTTTCTGACCACTGGTTGCCAGAGTTGGACGACTGGTTCCCAAAAGAAAGCCATTCCCTGGAGGGAAGAGGGAGGGTGCTTCTACAAAGGAGACAGGATGAGAGGTAGCAAGGAAGTCCCTCCCCTATCACTTGCTACCTCTTTCTCCATCACACCCTCCTTGACTCCACCCTAAGCCCCCCAACTTGCTGCTAAGCCTGCCTAACTCACTAGTACCCCCTGCTGCCTACATAAATACATGCTGACTTTCATATACTCCGTGTGTTTACCTGCAGCCTGGTGTAGAAGGAAGGGCTATTTTCTTGGAGCTGAGAGCTAGATTCAAACCCACTTCTGATGCTTATTAGCTATTTGACCTTGGGCAAGTTATTTTACCTCCAAATAAATGGAGATATTAAAATTTATACTACTCGCTGCTTAGAGTTGTGAGAAAAGTACTTTATAAATGGTAAAGCACTGTAGGATTATTATCATTATAGTAAGATTTGAAGGAGAAAAAGAAATCATAGAACGACAACACAAAGCCAGACAGGTTATGGCATCCCCAGTGGGGATGATTGCCAAATAACTCACATTTCTATAGCACATTAAAGATTCCAAAGTTTGAGTTTCTTGTTCCCTCACAATAATCCTGAGAGATAGTGAAATTATTGTTGTCCCATTTTTCAGATGAGGAAACTGAGGTCCAGAGAGAGTAAAGCGACTTGTCCAAGGTCACACATAGAATTAGTAGTAGAACCAGGGTTCCTGAACCGTTCCTTCTCCCCACTTCCTACCCCTAAAAGTATGTGTCCCCTATTCTAAGCACACAGATGTAGGGCAAGAAAATCTGATTAGTTATCCCATGGGTAGCTCTGGAATCACTAAGGGGCTTCCAAATATCCAGGGGAGAAAAATGCTAGGGAGGGGCTTCCTAGAGGTGGCTGACCATCAGGAGGATAGTACTGAGTCAGAAGGCTTCTGGGGAGAGGGGTGGGCAGTGCTGTGTGGAGGGGGGGGGTCTTCCTAGGGAAAGGGTTAGTACTGGAGTAGAAGAGCTCTCTTCTTGATTTCACATGGGATTATCTCCCCACTGTCAGCAGGGTTAAAAATAATGCTAGTGGTTCTGGGAAAGGGAGCAGACAGTCCTGCAGCTGAACTCCCTGAGGGAGGGAGACACATTTGAGACGCATAGCCTAGCCTAGCCTAAACACTCTCCTCCTCCCCTTCTGACCCCAGGTTATATTAGGCACACATTATCTCTGGCTTCCCAGCCATGGATAGCTATCCTAGGTGTCAGCGGTTGCCCCATTTGTCAGAAAGGTAAAACTGAGCCCCAGAGAAGGATGGTGCCCTTCCTAAAATGCCGAAACAGGTTGTAGCAGGATTGGACTAGCTGCTTTCCCATATTGTAGCTAACTCTTAAGTCATAAGAACCTTCTTACTGAGAGCTCACAGCCATGGAATGGCCAGGAAGGCAACGGTTTGGTCCTCTTGGCTTTTCTCAGGGCAAAATAGGCCGTTCCTACCCCACTGCTGATGGGAACCGGGTGGGGAGGAAGGATGCTTCTGCTTTGGTCTTACACTGAGGCATCATGTGGGAAACAGAAAAAAACATAGCCCCAAGAATCAGGGGAGCTAGGCTCCACACTTGGCCTGATAATCAGCTGAATGACTTGAACCTTCATTTTCTCCTGCCCCAGAACAGAGATGAAAGGCCTACCAGACTTCTTTGAGGTATGCAGAGATCAGGAAGAGTGTGGGCACTTCCCATCTCCGACCTCAGGACTGATCCAAAAGCAGTGCCACTCTGACCCCCGCCTTCTGGCTAGCCACGAGGCCTGGATCTGACCACAAATCCTAGCAAGTCACTTAACTCTGGGAGCCTCACTTACCTCACTTCTGGCTTTAAGAATTACAGAGGCACTTTCTAGCTGTGTGACCTTGGGCAAGTCACTTAACCCGATTGCCTCACCAAAAAAGCAAAAACAAAACAAAACAAAAAAAGAATTACAGAGATGCCTTCCTTATTAGGAATATGTTTGAAAGATAGCACAGCGGAGGGCCAGCGTGTAGGTAGTGGGCATAAAATTGGTCACTTATCGGGGGCAGCTAGGTGGCACAGTGGATAGAGCACCGGCCCAGGAGTCAGGAGGAGCTGAGTTCAAATCTGGCCTCAGACACTTGACACTTACTAGCTGAGCGACCCTGGGCAAGTCACTTAACCCCATTGCCTAGCCAAAAAAAAAAAGATTAGTTACTTAGCTCTAGAGAGAGATCCCTCTTTTCTCCCTCCATTTTCAGAAGTTTCTGCATCACTGAGATTTAAAAATAAACAAACAAACACCTCCCTAACCTACTATTTGCTGCATGTGAATCTTGTGACTCCTTTGAGAGGGCCGACTTCTTCTGTGTTCTGGACACTTGATAACACCTAGTTAAAGTGTGATGGCAGTGGTGGTGGTGGTGGCTGTTGTTGATTGAATTAAATGCCTCCCCTTAGCATTTTTAGAAAATTTTGAGTCTAAACTAGATTCTCTTAATACTTGAAATGTAATTCCTTCTGCTGATGATTTTTTCCCAGTGTTTTGGAGATAAGTTTGAATTTGAATAAGAACCATACTTTGAGTAAAAAAAAAAATTATAGACTCCAATATTCTTCACAGATCCTTTCCAGCTCTGACACTCTGTTCTAAAATCTCTTCCGTGTCTAACATTCTTTTTTCCTCCTGTTACTATCCTGTTTGAGACTTCCCTTCTCCCATCAGACTGTGAGCATGCTTAAGGTAGAGACTTTGCCTTCTTTTCTAGCGAGCAGACCTGGCCACAGGAAGCGAGGATGACCACACGAGGGGGTCAGCAGGGTCCCGAACACCCTGAAAGGTGTCATGGCTACATTTTAGTTCAGGCTTTCTCCTCTACCCCATCCCAGTTCATCCCTGCATTCAAAACTTGAAGGTGGTCCACCCCACCCCCAGGTCATGTGTTGCAGTTGGCATCCACATTCCTTCACTTATCCCTCAGCTCATGGACTCCAGAACAACCCAGGCTTCTTTTGTCGCGTCAGGAAGCCTGGCTGAACCCAACTGCAGGAGCAATCTATGGTATTTGCCCCACCTAGCCATTCATCTTTCTAGGGGCATAGCAGAAGCTTCCTCTACTGAAACTGGAGCTTCCTCCCCTAAATAGCTCAGGGCCACCTGGCTCCCTCACTGAAAGCCCACAGGATCTGAGGATGGAAAACTGGAAATGATTTCAGAGCTTATTGAGTATGACTATCCTCATTTCACAGATGAGGAAACTGAGGCCCAGAGAATAAAGTGACTTGCCCAAGGTCACAGGGCAATAAATAGCAGAGCTGGGATTCAAACCCAGGTCCCTTGGCTTCAAATCCATTTATAGCCAAATCAGAGCCAGCTGAGCCACCTCTAACTTGTGGCAAAGCACGTCACTAAAACAGTAAGTGGCTGGTGCCATCATCCCTATTCTGGCCCACCATAGGTAAGGGGGAAAGGAGGAAGGGAATAGGCATTTATTAAATAATTACTACGCACCAGACATTGTGCCAAGTGCTTTACAAGTATTATCTCATTTGATCTTCACAACAACCCCGTGAGGCAGGGGCTATTATCCCCATTTTACAGCTGAGGAAATTGAGGCAGACAGCAGTCAAGTGACTTGCCCAGGGTCACACAGCTAGTAAGTTTCTGAGGCTATATTTGAACTCAGATCTTCCTGACTCTAGGAGGCCCAGTATTCTATCCACTTAGAAAAAGGTAATGATGATGATGATGATGATACATGCCCACGTAGTTTTTTATCTTTCTTCACAATAACCTTAGGAAGGAAGTCAGGAAAATATTATTAGCTTCATTTTACAGCTGAGGAAATTGAGGTGCAGAGAGGGAGAATAACTTGGCAGTGATCACAAAACTAGGGTCAGAGCTGGGATCTATACGCTCAGCTCTCCTGACTCCATATTCTTTCTACCACCCCACACTACCCCGTATGAGGAATGTCCCTG